TGAGCAAGTGTGACATGGTATAGTCAGTTTTTACTTCATTACAACATGTTTCTCCCATACAAACATTACAATCGCGTTTCATCCATACAAACATTACAATCACGTTTCATCCATGCACATGTTACAATCATGTTCATCCATGCAAATATTGCAATCATGTTTCATCCATACAAATATTACAATCATGTTTTCCCCTTCAACCATTACAATCATAATTCTCAAATCCAGTATGATTGATAGGTGCCACATGGTCCCCATGATACACTACTGGGATATAGTTCAACTGAAATCTACATGCATGCTTTCCATCACACGGCTTTCCCTTGTAACATTCTACTGTCATGTCATCCAACAATCTGATAAAACCATTGCTCGAAACTGTTTAGTAATCAATATACATGTACATATATTCAGTGTGAAATGGTCAGCTGTGAGCGGATGGGACTTTACTCAGCCACAATGCCATGACAGTTCGAGCGCTGCAAAGAGTTTGGGTGTGTTGATGAGTTAATTAGTTGCCAGGGCGATCACGCGCCCGACCCAGAGATATGTGGTATAATGTCACACCCATTCTGATAACATTATCACATGGAGGGGATGAAATTGTTTAATTGTCTTATATACCAGACCAGAATACGACTAACTGCCTCGTTTAATTAATTAAGTACAGATGTATTTCTACTTGCTTTTAACACAAGCATCCACGTTGAAGTTTTAAGTGGCATGTGACAGTGCGTAAAAACACCGATGACTATCAAAACATGGCTTTCTATACCTGTATATAGGGAATGATAGGCTTTAGACCACTTAACTAAACAAGAAGTGCTGAAATATGTTTATCAGTATAAACAGCCCACTTGAGCAAAGGGGAAATGCAGCTCTGTGTAGCTAAATATAAAACTTAAAAAAGTATCACTTAAATGCTAGTTACAAATGATATTTATATTAAATCTTTTTCATCAAATGTACAAATAACATACTCTCATACACTACCTTGAGTCGAGTACAATGGACTGTGTGGTGTTTTGAAATTTTAATACGCCATAGAAGTATGTAAATTAATATTTCGAAATAAATGTACTTAGGTGGATGTCAGTTCACAATTCAGTGTTTATGAAGATTTAACGCTTTCTGGTTAATGTCGTTTGAATGAATACAACCACCCAGATTAACCATTAGCTGGAGTCTGAGCTTCTTAATTTAAGACTTGTAGGGTAGCTGCAGATAAACAGTTTGAATATACATCAAATACAACTGGAATTGTTTTGGTTAAATGTGTTTTTAATAGAACGGATTAATGTTAAACGACATCAAATTCTTTTCCGGAAAGAGACATGTTTCAGATTGGAGTGTTTGTCTGAACTATGCATGCCTTTGAGAAAAAGCGTTTTCTGAAATAGAGAAATATTCACTAGATGATTAAAAATAAAAACATATACGTTATATACACTTGATGATATATTGAATTACTTTGTAATAGTTGCTTTAGTTTCAGAAGCATCAATATTTACTTGACGATCAATCGTAACTTTAAATGCCAATTGTAACGCAAATGGAATTGATTATGTATGTACATTGATGCCATCTGAAACATATTAAGTCGCTGCTAACAAGCTGCTAACAAGCTGTTAACCCAGGTTGAAATCTCCATGCAATTCCATTAACAGAATTATTTTCTTATTATCAATATGCATCCAGTAATAATGCAAGTCTATCTATAGATCCAGCATAACTGCAGATAAATATGGACGGCATATGCCTAGCAACTGGTTACCTGCCGTACAGGGCTAGGGGTTAATTGTAGCCAGGTGTGTGTTGTGCTTATGAAGTAATGTTTACTTGGATGAGAAGCTTGTTTCAACAGTCGCTTCATATGTGTATTTATTCACGTGCTGATACATATTACCAGATGATATCAAACAAGTATGTTGATGTTATTACCGTATAAATCTGTATGTGTATGCAAAGCTTTGATGATCAAAAGATGAGAGAAGGGAGTTTTAATGGATGTAGACATTTCCCAATTTGCTGACGGAAATGCAGGAGATGTTTTCTGCAATTGATACAGACGATGTGTGTGTTATGGGGGAGGGTGGGTTCTGGGGGAGAGGATTTGGTTGGTGTGCAATTGATTATATTTGTAGATCATTAACCTCACACACAGATGTATCCATAACGTCATAAATGTCTTGTACAAATTAGACACAACTGTCTTGACAATATTGATTTCATTTTTTGTAATTCAGAAATTATAATATGTAAAAATGTTCTGTTATCCCATTTTTGCAATAGGGTTAGACAACCGTCGAGTAGAGTTGTCTCCCTTAAGGTGGCTGCTCTAACTGTACATTCGAGTCACGATAACGCTATTCCTTGTTCGCGTACGCCAGACTCACGTCCCAAAACAATCATACATGTTTTGTACCCTCCCCCCTGTGGGTGTTTTGTACAATAAATATTCTTTTTCTTCTTCTTCTTCTACCGCAAATGATTAAGAAACACCCACGGACGAATTTCACCCCAATGTCATAAAAAACATACAATTTCATAAATATTTTTATATATGTAATTTATCATACCAAAAATATCATTAAACGACCAATGTGATGTTGAAGTGAGTTAATGAGGGGGTTTATACCGACATGGATGGAGATACCCATTCAGTGACACACACCCATACACTGCAGCAGCACCTCAATCAGAGGAAGCATAAATCTGTTGTGTCAGGGCACGCCACTATCTGTGGGGCCGCCGTGTTGGGGCCAATAAAACACCGCTGCTACAGTCTCGCCGAGATACCACGTGCTCCATATTGGACCTATTTCACAACATGTGAGATGTTTGTTTGCTTCTCGAAGAACGCAACCCTCCTACTAGCCCGTAAAAGTCAAGCATGTGTTTCATTAGCCAGGAGTAATGTCTCTTCCATTGGTCACGTGACCATTCGGTACAGACAAGCTGTTATTAGATGAGGATGACAACGGATACAAGAATGGTTTTCTTACGCGATTTGGAGGCTTCCAAAGGACTTTCCCTTATTTCGGTGTGTTTTCTTGTATCTCTGTCCATTCACCTCTCTTTACCCGTCCCCTCTCTCTTTCTCTTCCTTTATTCCTTTATTGTTCTCTTCTTCTTCTGCATTCAAAAATGAGCTTCAGCAGATCTGTCATCGAACCGATGTTTAAGTGGAAAGTCGGCACAATACATCTCTCTCTCTCTCTTTCTCTCTCTCCCCTCTCTCTCTCTCTAGATCTCTCTCTCTCTCTCTCTCTCTCTCTCCCCTCTCACTCTCTCTCTCTCTCTCTCTCTCTCTCTCAGATACTACATGCAACTACATCAACGTGGACATTGTTGTTTGTTTGTTGTTTAACACCGCACTCAGCAATATTCCAGCTGTATGACGGCGGTCATAGCGAGTCTGGACCAGACAATCCAGTGAATGACACCATCAGAACTAACCTACACAACTGGTGTACGATGACTTGCATCAACCAAGTCAGCCAGCCTGACCGCCGATCCCGTTAGTCGCCTCTTAGTCGCCCCCGGATCTTCACGGGGCAATCAGGTAACGAATTACATGTTCGACGGTCTTAAAGAGGGACTTTGCCCTCTGGTCTGGCGTCTAATTCCAGTCTACATCACGCGGAGTCAGAGAGTCGACACACGACTACAGCGACGAGGACATTTTCATTACTGATACACGTCGACCTGGCGTCATTGCGTATATGTTTCCATCACAAATAGATGAAAGTTGCTAAGCTTGGCTTATTTCATATAGGTCACACGTTTAATCTGGCTCCTGTTACATGAAATAGCTGCGTGGTTTTGATCCTGTTGAATCACACCAGATAACGATGACGTGTGTGTGAAGTGTGCGGTTTGGGTTACACACCACCGCAGAGATATACGTATGTCGTGTATATCTGTCTCCACATGATAGACCCTCTTGTTCCATGCAAGTCCTTACGTTAACAAGCGAGTTCCTATGTTAACAAGCGAGTTTCTATGTTAACAAGCGAGTTCCTATGTTAACAAGCGAGTTCCTATGTAAACAAGCGAGTTCCTATGTTAGCATGCAAGTCCCTATATTAACAAGCGAGCTCCTATGTTATCAAGCGATTTTCTATGTTAACATGCAAGCCCCTATGTTAACAAGCGAGCTCCTATGTTAAGAAGCGATTTCCTATGTTAACATGCAAGTCCCTATGTTAACAAGCGAGCTCCTATATTAACATGCAAGCCCCTATGTTAACATGCAAGCGCCTATGTTAACAAGCGAGTTCCTATGTTAACAAGCTATTTCCTATGTTAACAAGCGAGCTCCTATCTTAGCAAGCGATTTCCAATGTTAACATGCAAGTCCCTGTGTTAACAAGAGAGTTCCTATGTAAACATGCGAGTCCTTATATAAACAAGCAAGTCAATATGTGTTACCATGCGATTCACTGTTAACATGCGAGTCCCTATGTTAACAAGCGAGTCCAAGTTAACATGCGAGTCCCTATGTTAACAAGCGAGTCCCTATGTGAGGTGAGTTGAAATTGGGTTTAACCTCGCGTCAAAGATTATTGCACTTATATAGCGACGTGCATGTACGTGTATGTGTTTGTGTGGCTGCTTGTACTAGTCCGGACTGATGCCGATTTATAATGCTAGCTCACTGAGATACCATGTCGAAGTTTAACATGAATATCCCACTCAGGCATTGTATACTGACTCCGAGCCGACCAGTCCTTGTTTTAGCCCCTTAGTGCCGAGCACCAGACAGGGTAACAACATGTACAGTCTTTCAACGACTTTTGGTATGACGCGGCCGGGGTTCAAACCCCGGACCTTCCGCTCTCCGGGCGGACGCTCTACCACTAGACCACGGAGGCGGTCCCCCTATGTGAGATGCGATCTCTTGTGTTAACATGCGAGTCTCTATGTAGATATTAAGTGTAGTGCGTAAGGGCTACAATATGGAACAATGCTGCTAAATGAAGGATTGACTCTGGTAGAGATCGAAAGAAAAAAAGAACGAAACAGCGGCAGCAGACGACAGCAGATGGGAGAAGACAGAAGAGAACGTGAAGAATTAAAGAGAGAATGGGGGTGGAGAGGGGAAAGAAAAGAAGGAAAAGAAACGTTAGAATATCAATCAAATTCACACAAAGGGCAAGAGGTGAATGAAAAAACACCGAGCGAGGGTTAGGGGGAGGGGAGAATAATTATAGCCGTGGCGATATGGGGATTACCTAAAATTATGAAGATCACAAGTGATAAAGACTTGGATATCGGGAATCGAACACGAACTCGTTTTGTACTCATTACAAAAATTGTAAAAATCCAACACAATGTCTTTTTCGCTTGTCTTCAACTATATCAAATATATTCAAGTTAGATTACATCGACCACTGACCTGCTTATTCCGTCAGTTACGTGATAACGCCGACCCCCTTGGCCAGAATTTCCATTTCAAATCAAATTCACTATAATCATTGTTGAAGCATGGTCTTGTCTGACCAGGAAGTCTGATTTTATTATTAACCCATCCAGCTACAAAGCAACATTGTGATGAAATGTGGGCATGCAGTCAATGAATGCACGTCTTTTCAATGTCTTAAACCCTTTCATGGTGCCTAATGCATATAAAAGCTATCCTTACACCACCATCGCTCACACACATTCTGTATAATGAAAGGTTACGAAATCAAACAAATTCGGACCAGACAATGAAATATGGCCTATGAATATTCCAAATGGAGATTTCAGTGATTATTTTTATGAATTAGTTCAATTTGTCAGTGTTAGGCGCGCGTAAGCGTGGCTTATGACTTGGGAGTGAAGTTTTCTGGAGTGAGGTCGCAAAAAGCCACGTTTTTATTCATGGCGCAATAACAAGTAATCAGCGGAGTAATCCGGTCCTTAAACCTGTGATTACTCCGCCGCAACTCTCACATGGACACAACGGATCCGCATTCCTCCGCGGCCCTTTGAAGTTGTTTGATGACAAAACACTCTCCTTAATATTGATGAATTTCTTCTCCTAATCAATAGAAGCGAACACAATATTTACAAGTGGTTTGTGTTGGCAGATAGCTGCTAGTGTTGCCGGCCATTGCATCTTCATCGCATAAAGAAACTCACCGAGTTGGGATTGTGTGCATCGTACGTACCCATATCAGCCCGTTCGTTTCAATTGGAACATTTATACACGCTACCAGTTGATCAAACGTGGCTTGGAATTTCTTCGATTCGGTAAACAACCCGATTCAAGCTTTTGAACCCATCTCGGTTGCGTATACCGCCGCACTGGTCACTGCAAATACTACCCAGACGAAATGACCACAAATCTCGTGCTTCACTATTGAACATCTATTAAACACACTGCTCAAGTTATTCTATCTTTACGATGTCCAATTTTGAGGCCATATTAGCACCAACTCGATTTTGTTTAAACAAACTCCGCTTTCATTTGGCGAACATTGTCAAATTTATTACCGATTTGTTGGTATAAGATTCGTCGGCGAGTATGAAAACTTGCACCGGCTCGTGAAACGAGATTCGGAATGGGTGTTGGAGGGTTAGGATGCATAATAAAGAGATCATAACGGACTATGAAAACCACATAAAGACGGAGTAACGATACGGTCGGCCCGAGCGAGACTGAGCGTATTTATGACAACATAAACCCACGAAGCGCGTGGCGGAGGGCATAATGTTTTATTGACTAACTGCTCTGTGATTCCCGTTAGTTAATACATTTACTCTCCTCTATCGTTGGAAATCACGCGGCGAGATTATATCAAGACTCTGAATGATTTCGCATATGTAGTGCTCGTTGTAGCTTTATTATTATCAAATGACGGTGAATGTTTATGCGCGACGAAAGCCCAAAGCATGACGGAGCGGGCTCTCGTGTGACCCACGCCTCATAAACTACGGCTCACAAGCTTGGCTCGACTCTTACAGTGTTAAAGGGCTGCTTGCCTGTTAATGCGATGATCTGAAAAGGGGATCTCGATGCTAATAGGAGGGGAGGATCGGCCCGCCGTATCACCCACCATCTCTGATTGGCTATTTTGATGATCAAATATTGTTTTAACCTGAATACGAATATTATTAGTTATTTTCACTTTATATGATGAATGACGAAGGGTTATAGATTACCACGGTGGTACGTTTTACTGAACATCGAAAATACATTAACTTGATGAGAAATACAAACTGAAAACGACTTTGTTTTCAAATCGTTTATCATATTCAGAACTTTTATTGACGTATAAAAATTGTTTTTTTGTTTTTTTAAAGCATGGTATGTCCCTATGGTCATTGTGATTTCAGGCAATAAACATCGGGTTTGGAAGTCGTGCATGTCACCAAGTAGTAAAGCGCCCTCTAGTCGAATTGACGAGTTTTGACCTTGACGTGCGTTTGTAAAATCTATCATGCATAAACGTTGGTTTTTTTTGCATATAATAAAAACCATGTTTTTAGCTTAACCTTTTTTAAAATATCGTAATCTCACGTTTCTGACGAAGTACCAAATAAAAAGTTATTAATCTTTGATTAATGTAAGTTGTGAATGTGTAATGACTGAGCACTGTCATAATATTTGATACATGGGTTTGCAGGATTTGACCAAAATGGTCTGATAGTAAAAACATGGTGGTGCAGATGATGGTCATCAATCATCCAAGTAATCACATTAACGGAAGCATCAGAATAAAGAATTGCGCGTCACGACGTTCTGAATGACTACAATTTATTCAAATTTCTACTAAATTTAATTCATGGAATAATTGATGATAACAAGGTGATATGAAGGTATTTGTAAAGCTGTCTACGATCTTTACCACTGGTTCTGGCTTCCGTTTAGACTTGCATGACAACGCCAGGGTCAAAGGTCACGATGTGCTACCTCAAGGTCATAAATCTTAATTTTCTATCCCTCATAAATCATTATTATCCGAACGGCTACCATATCATAATATTTGAGCGAGACAGATTGACGGATATGTTATAAAAACGAAGAACGTATTTTTATCGGTGTAGTTTCACGCATTAGACTGGCCCGTTGCTGCCACGAACTCGTCTGAGGAGCTGATTTCGGAATAATATCATTCCAGAAAGTATCAAATCCGGTTTTGGCGTTGCGTATCAATGAAACGTAGAATATCCTTGTCCGACATGTTTTCTTTTCAAAACGACGATAAATGATTATTGTGTCAATGTACAAAAATATTAGTTTCCCTGATGTGGTAGTGTTTTCTCAGTTGACGTCATTTGTTAGTAATCAAATCTTGGTGATGGTAAGACGGGCCGGAAATCTAACCCGGGTTAGGTTAAAGGTTGGACTGGGTTCTTACAAAAGCGGACTTTGAGCAGCTGAAATCGGTCTTACAGTTCAAACCGATGACAGCAGTAGAGTGGCTGTGTCATCCTTATAGTGGCCGAGCACAATACTCGGCTTTGAGGTGATAGGCGTTGCACTGTATTCATGCCTAGTCTCAGTTTACACGTGTGTTTTGTCTTCCCTTCCTTTAAGTCGATTAGAATAACACTCTGAGTTTCACTGGAATTTTCTTAGGTTTTGTTCTCGAACAATTGAGATGGAATTTTTTGACGAATTAGTAACATATAGCTAGCTATGATAAAAGAGAAACGGAATTATCTGTTCTGAAATCTTATCTCCTAGTTATCTAACTCTACAGATTTACTTATACCTTGGGAGTGTATTATCATGTCTGGTCACAGGTTCGGTATAATCTTACATAATACTGATGAGAAAATCTTTTTACCTTTAACATTTCATCTCTGAATCAGAAGTCAGTTGCTACCTGGAGAGAGCCAGGCTTCGGTGGGCTGTCTGTAAGTAGTGGCTTCTAACAGGTGTATGTGTTGTTTAGCTCTAGTTGTTGTTTGTTGTTTAACGCCGCTCTCGGCAGTATTCCAGCTATATGACGGGGGTCTATAAATAATCGAGTCTGGACCAGACAATCCAGTCATTGACATCATGAGCATCGATCCCCGCAATCGGGATACGATGACTGCATCAACCAAGTCAGCGAGCCTGACCACCCGATCCCGACCACCCGATCCCGTTAGACAAGCATAGTAGCCTTTCAAGGCAAACATGGGTTGCTGAAGACCTATTTCACCCCGGATCTTCACGGGTCTGCTTAACTGTAAGTTAGGACATTATCAATGTGATAGTAACAGCAACGCCCATGCATTTTCTCACAAATAGTGTCAGACGCGCATGAACAAATTCTAACTGAATGCTTTTTGTAATGGCAGTGCAAAGTATTATGAATGTTTAACGATTGGTAAATGATAAGATGAAGATATCTATTGCGTAACATTCCATCGAGAAATAGTGACAATATTCTACAAACTACAAATATATACACGTAAGGTAAAAAACATACAGGTATTTCCATGTATCTATAATTGCTTTTGGGTCGATGTGGCGTTAGTTTTGTCGGTAGGACAATGCAGGAGCTTAGAGATAGATAAGACAAGATCATTTATTGTTCATATATACTCATTTGGGGCCGGGTACAAACAGTTAAGACATACTGATGATAGAATTAAAACTTTATACATGATTCATTCTGTTTTAGTGATATAAACACGTCTTATAATAAAACCATTCCTGTCTTGCTCTTTACGAAACCGTAAAACTCATTGTTTTAATGGAACCATACCAGCTATGTTTCTTCATGAATCCGAATACGTCATTCCTTTCAAGCGGCCATGTCACTCAATCTCTTTACGAAACCACAAGAAAACATTATATCCATGGAACCATACAGCCCTTTCTCATTACGAAACCAACAATCACATTCTTTATTCAAGAAACCATTTATGCCTTTCTCAATACCAAACCACATAAGCCATTTTCTTCATCAAACCATTAGAGACCGCCTCCGTAAGCTAGTGGTAGAGCGTCCGTCCGGAGAACGGAAGATCGAGTGTTCGAACCCCGGCCGCGTCATACCAAAAGTCGTTGAAAGACTGTACTTGTTGTTACCCTGTCTGGCGCTCGTCATTAAGGGGCTAAAAAGGACTGGTCGGCTCGGAGACAGTATACGAT